TAGTAAATTAATTTTCATCTGAAGTGATTATTGTATGCTCATCAGTGGGAGGCTACACTGCAAACTGTAAGCAGTAACAAAAAGTATCTTTGGCCCTTCCTCCTGATTTGCATTGAAGATTTAGCTTTGAGGTGTGTTTACAGTGAAAAGAAACCTCCTGTAACAGTGATGGAGTTTTTGTTTGCTTCTTTGTCAAGTAATTATTAATTTTTGTTCCTTTTTACTATAGTGCCTCTTGCAGAGGTCCTGCTTTTGTGGCCAAAAAATAATAAAAATCCCTATTTGTACCAGGATCCAGGATGTGTATGTGCAAGGTTTTCTTGCTATATACTGAAGCTATTAATGTATCTGTACTGGAGGAGATAGGCTGAATATACTCATTGATTCTCACTACCTCAAGAAAACAAGACATTTCTGATAAATTAATGGTAATACTTTGGCTAACTAACTCATCATCATGGCTGGGCTTCGCGAACGAAGATTTGGGAAGGGCTCTACCCACGTTTGTTGCAAGCGCGTTGGTGGCTAAAAGGGCCAATACGAGATAGACATGTCCGGTTGCAAAAGGCACAGCAGAAAGACTCCTTAGATGGTGTATTATGCAAGGCACAATTCTTTCTGCGTTGTCTTTTCTCCTCAAGGGTGATCCTGCGTGCTTTCTTAGAGGCATCAGCAGCGTTATAGATGGTGTGTCTCCAAGCCTCCCGATTTGAGGCCAGAGTAGACCAGTTATGTTGATCAATATGGCCCAGGCTGAGATGTTGTTTCAGGGAGTCCTTGTATCTTTTCTTCGGGGCTCCTCTCTTGCGGCAGCTGGTGGCAAGTTCACCATAAATCAAGATCTTAGGGAGGCAGTGGTCCTTCATCCTTGAGATGTGCCCTGCCCAGCGCAGCTGTGTTCTAGCAACATGGCCTCAATACTTGTGACTTCACGAGGAAGGCAGCCTCAGAGAACATGGTGCCGGTTACACACTCTTTTGGTCAGGTAAGCCCAGAACCGAAAACATCTCTCAGGAGTCGGCTTCATGATCAAAAACTCTATTGTTCCTAAACTCGAAAATCTGCCGACAGGTCACTCTGACCGCATTATCTCCCTACGCCTTCCACTACACAACAAGCAACATGTTGTTGTCTTTAGTATATATGCCCCAACTCTCCAAACTGACCCTGCCGAAAAAGATAAATTTTACACTGACCTGCACCACCTTACCCAAAAGGCTAACTAACTAGATTTCTCAGAATTGAACTGATTTTGGCATCTGGGTTAAAAAAATAAGCTTCTTTCAGGTTCCTGGACATTCAGTGAGAGAAAACTGTTTTAGGAAATTGAAAAGTGAAACTGTGCATACATGGAAACATGCATGCAGCTATGTATGTAATTTTTTTTAATGTATATTGACTGTTTTATTGGAGCCAAAATAAAGGTTCAGTGCTTTTCAGAAACTATTTGGGATTTATAATCAAACTGATTGGAAATATTTGATTTTAATAGAAGAAGATATTGCATTTTAGTTATATTAAACAAAATATTTTTAAGAGTTTTGAAATTTTTAAAATTTGAAATTATTTTTTAGGTTGACCTGCTCATTGAAAAAAATTCACTTTGAAAAGAATACTTAAAAAAATCACCCACTCTGCTGATTCCAGATTTTATAGTAAGCCTCACAGTACGGCAGCATCATTAAATATTTTAACTAGGAGTATTGTCAACCTCGTGTCAAAAAGTAGACAGGAAGTACAAATGTGAAAGTATCCTATTTGTAAATGTGAACATATTGTTTTGCATATGCAGGTCCAGATTTATTCCATTTAATTTTAGGCACTGACCTTAGAGATCTGCCTTGTCACTTTGAGTCCTTCTCCAGTTACACCCCAAAGGTCCTCCAGCGAGCAGTTAAAAACTGAGAGCATTGTATCACTATCCTGCCTGTAGCCCAAGTCTGCTGTGTCCTAACTTGGCATCTTGACATCTTGCACATCTTCACATTTTACTGTTGTAGGCATGTTGCACATCTGATGCGTTCTCTGATCTCCCTTAATTTCCCCCTGTCCATGAGAACAAACTTCCAAGGCAAACCCAAGGAGTTTTAGGTATGAGTGAGACAGAAGCCTCATCTTCAAGAACCCTAGAACAGTTGAAGAGCATGGCTGGGCAAGTGAGATCATTGTGCCAGGGGAAAATGCAGATACGTGTTTGCAGCTTGATGTACTGGTTAGCTGGAGCACACAATGAAAATGAAAACTGGCTCAAAGTTTGTTTAATAAAATTGAAGTAAGTGGTTGTTTTTTTTGGCTGCTCTGCCAGTTTGATAAAATTGCTGTTTGAGCTCTACTAAGCCAGCTGTCTCCTGTGCTAAGTTTTGTAAGGGGTGCATGTGGTTATGCCTGCATGTGCTCCTCTCAGTCTGCAACAAGAGTCACAGCTGCCATTTGATGGCCTTACTGGAAATGCACAAACCCACCCATTAGAATCCTGAGTAACATGCTGTAGTTAATGTGAATAGAGATATGTTAATAGTGGATATTTATACAGTTTCATTTGGGGTTGCAAGAAGCTGGAGATCAAAATTGTTTATCAGGAGCCTTCTAGTGGTGGTTATCTTAGTAAGGACAATGCCTTAAGGATCTATCCATGTACTCATAAATCTATGCCTGGAAAATATTATATATTTAGAGTATAGTTAGATGCTATGAGTAGTAAAAAAAGGAATCAACAGTTTTTGAATAGCAGTGATTGATACTACTGAATGGCTGTCTCATGAACAGATGCAACTGTGCAGTTGGCTATAAGATCACCAGTGTAAATGGGAGTGTAGTCTGAAACAGATGTTTTTCCTTTTTTGGCTTATGAGGATTGTGTGGATGCTGCTGGTGATCCAAAAGGCTAGAAAAGAATCTCCTTTCCTGTGGAGCCTTCAGTTTTTGTTTGTTCTGGATAGTAAAGTGCAATGGTACAAACTTGGCTGGTGCCAGTGTCCCTTCTGTGTCCTTGGGCTGACTCCTAAGTTGGCTCGTCTCTGCTGGTGCCAGACACCACAGAGGATGACAGCTGGGAGGACAGTCGGAGAGGACAAGGGTGACACCAGATATGTATTTTCTAAGGTGTGTAGACCCTTTTCTTTGTGACTTTTGATTTCTAGAGATGAAAAGTTAGGAAGTACACTATTTTTTTTCTGAAAGAAGCTGTTGCAGCTGTTGAATCCTCTATATCTTCCAGATTCGGATTTCTGTTTAACATGAGTAGCCAGTAAATGAATGTAGTGATATTACATCACAGTAACAGCATGGATTGTTCATGATCTTTCACGGTCCCTTTCAACCCAAACCATTCTATGAGTCTACGATTGCATGAGTTGTCCAGATAACTTGGTTTTGGTGCACTCAGGCATTGCAAAGAAGCTAAAATTTGTAATGTTTTTCTATTCAATGTACAGTGGGAGCAAAACACTTGATATACTTGATTGTTTTGATGGGTGAGTAAAGAAGGTTCCTTTAAATTAGTGCTGAATATTTATGAAATTTGAACATCTGTCATCTCAGGGTTTTTTGCTGTTAAAACCAGATGGGTATACAATTCCCCAAAGCAGCTTTGAGTAGAGTTCAGACAATGTGTAGCCAATTTATTACCTGTCTTCACAAACCTGATAGTTTTGGAATCTGGATTCAAATTTATTGTCTCAATCAAAACAACTCATTATTTTTGGGCTTTTTTCATTTTAGGTATGAAACTGTGTTTTGTTTGCTTCTGGTAATATTGCATGTTTTAATATGAATTTCAGATGTGTGAAGTATTGCGGTTTGTTAGGATAGGAGTTGGGATGCAGATATTGTGTGAATTGATAACTTATGATGCTAAAAGGTCCTTATAAAAGTTCTGTGAAAGAACTGTAAGAGTAACTCTTACCTGATAGCATAGGAGTGCTTAACTCTTCCTACCCTAAAAAAACCCAACACCAAACCCTGTTTTTTCTAATTAGAAATGCTCTTAAAATGGAGATCCTTGGTTTAGAGCATTTATCACTAATATATATAATATTAGTTGAAGACATTTAGCATAAATAAAAGAGTAATTGAATACAGTGTAAATTACTTTTATCAGGATATGTATATCAGGATATCATACTATTATAATTTTCTCTAAAGTTTCCTTAATAGTATTTGAAATCCATATATAGTGTGATGATATTTACCATCTTAACTCACTGACCATTCACTCAGTTTGCTAAGCTGCAGCTTACTGCATTAATGGCCTGTGGAACCATTTAGAAGAGATGGTTGTATATTTGTTTAAGTTGAGAAATTCTCATTTGGATTCTGGCACACAGTTTTTGTTTGTTTGACTTCCCTTCTATTTCAAGATCATCTTTTTCCAGTTGAGATTATTGTGCTGTTTATGGTTTACTGTACATGGACTGTTTTATGCACAGTTGAGATTTCTGCTCAATTGAGAAAAGGGTGAGATAGCAAGGGAGGCTAAGCACTTTGACAGTCTTTCTGTCTCTTTCATGACATTGGGAATGTTTAGTGGTACAGAAGTTCTGGTGTAGAGTCAGTCAGGACTGACTGCTAGCGTGGATGAGGCTCTACTGGCAAAGCTGTATTTTAATCAAGCCATACCCAATAGGATCAAAATGTGACCCAGGTTACAGTGCAGCCTTGTTGGTGTAATTGCTGCCTGCCACACCAGGAGCTTCCTAAAGTCCCATGAGGTCTAGCAGGGATTGCACCTATTTGTGCCCCTGGCGTCCAACAAGACTGATGTAGACATTGTCTTGGCACTGGAACTGGCTCCCTAGGGAAGTGGTCACAGCGCCAAGCTTGATAGAGTTCAAGAAGCATTTTGGAAAATGCTCTCAAGCACATGGTGTGATTTTTGGGGTGTCCTGTGCCAGGCCAGGAGTTGGACTTTGATGATCCTTGTGGGTCCTTTCCAACTCAGCATGTTCTGTGATTCTGTGCCTCCTAAGACCACTTTAAATTCTTTACTCTTTCTTTCATAGGGCTCCTCGATTTAAGGGGTTCCAGCAGCAGGACAGCCAGGAGCTTCTGCACTATCTGTTGGATGCAATCAGGATTGAGGAGACAAAGGTAGTGTCTTCCTGTGTGTTTTAAAGAACTTAATTGACTTTATGGTGAACTACTAGTCATTGCTTTAATGTTCTTCATGTTCCCAATGTTTTAAAGATGTAGTTAATCAAGTAAGAGTGGCTATTTCTGTTATCTTGAGAAAAATGATTACTTTTTTTGAAGGATGATTTAATTATGTTCATGGTGATTTGTTAAAATTGTTGATTGGAATGGAAGTTTCAGTTAGCAGTAGAAAGGGTATGGTAAGTAGAATGTGATAACTTTAGGCATCTGAGTTTTTAGGAATCTGAGTTGTTTGCCTTTATTTAAAAAAAGAAAAGTATGAAAAAAAGGACATCTGAGGAGTCAAGAAAGTAAATATATATAGGACCTCTGATTTAGCTGACAGAATTTTAAAGCTTTGGAACAAAAATTAGCAGCTCCTAGCTGTGGGGCCTGCTCACAATTTTAACTGCAAATTGTGAAAAGAAAAAAAATCTTGCAAAGTTTCTTGTATCTCTTGGAAGTGTGAAGAGCTCCTTGCTTTATAAATAAGGCGCTGCTTTTCATTGCTTAAAATCTACATCTAAGTATGCTAAGTACAGAAGCAGTTTGTTGTATTGAAAATGTCCTTGTGTGAGTTTTGTTGTTTCTTTTCCTTCATTACTTGTGCCTCCTGTATTGTTGAAAGAAAGTGTGTGTTTGCTTGTTTGAACTGTCTTGGACCATATCAGATTTAATCTGCCTGACTTAGTCTTGGACCCTTCTTTTCAGATGATATTCTGGTAAATAGGCTTTTCTAAGCCTCCTCTGAGGGAAGGCCTTAAATCTCATACTGACCAGCATACTTCCTCTTCCTTCTCATTAGTAACCAGAAGAATGTCATGATCCTGAGTTGAATTATCTCACAGATAAGATGTAAAGTTGTGTCTGAGCCCAGTTTTGGGCACTAGAGTAGAACTGAACAAATCCCCGTCCAACCAGAATACTAATATATATGGGCCAACCACGTCCTGGGGGGCATCAGGCAAAGCATCGCCAGCCGATCGAGGGAGGGGATTGTCCTGCTCTGCTCTGCTCTGGTGAGGCCTCACCTTGAACATTGTGTGCAGTTTTGGGTACCACAATATAAGAAAGATATTAAGCTTAATTAGAGAGTGTCCAAAAGAGGGCAACGAAGATGGTGAAGGGCCTTGAGGGGAAGCCGTGTGATGAGTGGCTGAGGTCACTTGGTCTGTTCAGCCTGGAGAAGACGAGAGTGAGGGGAGACCTCATTGCAGTTACAACTTCCTCGTGAGGTGAAGAGGAGGGGCAGGCACTGATCTTTTCTCTGTGGTGACCAGTAACAGGACCCAAGGGAATGGCCTGATGTTGTGTCAGGGGAGGTTTCGGTTGGATATTAGAAAAGAAGGTTCTTCACCCAGAGGGTGATTGGGTGCTGGAACAGGCTTCCCAGGGAAGTGGTCACAGCACAAAGCCTGACAAAGTTCAGGAAGTGTTTGGACAATACCCTTGGGCACATAGTGTGACTCTTGGGGGTGATCCTGTGCAAGGCTAAGGGTTGGACTCAATGATCCTTGTGTGTCCCTTCCAACTCAGCATATTTTGTGATTTTGTGATTCTGTGGTCTTGTGAGGAGCATACTTGATCATAAACAGAACTGAACTGCAAGGAGAAACAATTAAACCTTGACACTGAAAATTTTTAGAAAATTATGTCTTGAACAGGGCACACAACAGAAGCAGGTAATTTCAGTTAAAAAACACTTGTCACGTTTTTGCAGCAGAAGGAAACTTTATTGTTTTATTTTTTGATTTTCTTATAAAAAAAGGTGGAAACTGTACTGACTTGACGAAAGAGGATTCACAGAAAGTAGGATTATTACAACAACCAAGCTTCTTCTCCAGTCTCCTGCTTCACCAGTGGACATGCCATCATTATGATAACCTGCAGTCATATTTGCCTTTTGAATTTTGCCGTTTATTATTAGAGAGCAGTGACAGCTACAGTAGCTACCTCAAAAGAGTGATGGAAGATGGTGAGAATTCATGGTGACCTTCTGAGCAGTATTTCTGCTGCCCCATTACCAGGCAGGGAGAGGTGGGTCCCACCCTGCCCTGCAATTAAACCCCATAGCTGCCCTAATGATGCATTACTGCAAGCACTCGGGGTGCTCTGCCACAGACAGTAGTAGGAAAAGCTCTCTCCCCCTTTCTCTCTCTCTTTTTCTTTAAAGTATCCCGTGTTTCAGGTCTGTAGATGGCACAAAACCAGCAAATATAAGGCCCATGGTGAGCACTGGCCACCGTGCTGGCCGGACACAGGCAGGAGCCTTGCAGCTGCCCCTATGGCCTGCCCACCACGTGGGCTCTGGCTGCAGCAACGGCTTACGGACACTGACCTTCCTCTTTCAAGCCACTTTTAAACTTCATTCTTGGAAGAGGGAACAACGCTGTTGAAAGGTGACTGACTGCTTTGCCGTCCACCTGTGAGAGCTGAACGTGGCCATCCTTGCTTCCCTACACCTGCCAGGATTGTTTTTAAACCCTAAGTGTTTTTATGAGAAATACATGTGATATATAACATGGCAGTAGTTATGGGACCTAACCAAAAATGACATTATACTTTTGCCTCTTCTGTGTGTTTTTTTGTCTTGTATCTGATACCAGTGCTGAACTTTTAGTTAGAAAGATTAGTTAGAAAGTGTGTATGTACACAAGTGGATTTTTAAGCTAAGAGCTTGGCAATACGACAATAAAGATGACATAGCGTCTGCCGTTTCCAGCAATGTGGGCTGGAGATGGTTTCACACCAGGGCCTGAAGTGGCTGAACCCTGCTGCTAATTGATTAATGTCTGCTGCCATTGTCCACAGCACCCTGCCCATTCAAAGACTATGTCTTTCTTTGACCTAAATAAATGGTTCAACGAGCTAATCCCAACAAAAGGGTTGCTTATGGCCCTAAACCCATTTATGGTGCTCAACTTCATGAATTACCTATTGATTAATCCTTTTAGTATATTGTTGGCTTTAAGATGAACAAAGCTGAGCTTGGGGCAGCGGGAGTTAATTCACAAGCCAGGTCACATACTCATAAGGTCGGAGTATGACTGGTCTGATGGGTGCCTGAACTGCAAACCAAACCTCCAATGCTGTCTGTCATCCTCACACTTCTGTAACATTGTGGCCTGAAAGTGTACTTTGCTGCCTGGAAACAAGAGCCATTTATTAATCCTTTCCTGTTAGGACACAGGGTTTGAGTTGCTTGCAGACAGTTTGGTATCACCATTTGTCTCTTAGAATGGTACTTTGCTCTAAGTGTGACTTCAGTGACATGTTTAATTATAAATGTCATTTGCACACCAATGCGGGAAACTCGTACATGTTCCTAGAGTTTGTGGATCAGATAGCCAGTACATTTGCCAGAAAAAGGGGAAGCACGGGTCATGCATGCTACAATGTTCCCCGTCAGGGGACCTGATTCATCCTTCTGCTTTCCTCTCTGCAGCATGCCAGATTGGGCTTTTTTACAAGCATGTGCTGTTCTGCTGCGAGGGTACACCTCACAGGAGTACAGCATCTCCTCACCCCAGGGCAGCTGAGAAAGAGCAGGGGCAAGTACCGCCCCTCTGGAGGGGCAGCTACAGCCCATCATTTATGAAGTTGCTTCTTTCTGATCCTTCTTTCAAAAATGTAGTTTTTAGGATTTTTTTGGAGCAAATATTGATAACATTTATATGGATTCATTGGAAGTTTTCTGTCTCTTGTAAGGTTTTCTAACATAACTCTGGAATGTGCAGTGTTAGAAAATAAAGAGAAGTAATGAAAATACTGCCCAAACACAGTCATTGAAGTCTGACTTATTAAAAGTTCTTTAGCTGCCTTCAAGTGTTTTGTGCCCTAGTCATCAGTAATAGTCCAGTCTTCCATATATTTTTTCTCTCCAGTGGTGGAAGAAATGGACAGTATTTGTATACTGAAAATTCCATGGTTTCTTGATAACCTATCAAGGGCCCTACAATGGTTCCCTTTTTAAGGTGAAGAAAGTTTTTTGAATGGTTACCTACTAAAGTTAAGCTCATGTCATTTTGACGTTGTAGTGAATAACAACAGTAATTTTACAACATTAAATTATGCTTATTTTATGCAAATAATACAAGATAATATCTAATAATATCTGACTAGTTTTTAGAATGCTTACACTTAGAATACTTAATTCTTTTTTTTTACTTATAGCGTATACAAACTGCTATCTTAAAAGCCTTTAATAACCCAACTACTAAGACGGCAGATGAAGAAACTAGAAGAAAAGTCAAAGGTATGCAACTCTTTATTGAAAACTTTTAAAAACGCACAAGTCTTTAAATACCATTTTCTTTAGAACTGCTTATTGCAAACAGCAGTCCCGAAGTGCTGTAGTTACCGGACTTCTATTCTGTGTTACTTTAGTGCCGCCTAGTGTGTACCTAAAGTATAGACAGCTTAGTATGTGCTGACTTGCATCTTTGTATCCAGGATAAAGGCTTCCATGGTATTAAAAATGCATCTTTTAATGATAGATAGAACTTAATTTTCTTTTCTAAAATAGCCTGCTTCATATTTGTTATACAGTCATAATTACTGTGTCACTCAGAGAGGCCACTTCCCATAAACAAACCGATTTCTGTCACTTGACTGTTACTTTGAGCACTCTAAATACAACTACAAAGAAAAGGCATGTTTTTGTTCAAAACCAGTTTTTAATCTTTTTGTGTGTGTGTTTGCTTATTCAGTAGTTCTAATTTGGGGGACTTTTTTTTAATTAAAGTCTCAGCGATTAAGATGTTTTGAAAGTCACCCTTCCCAAATCTGCAAAAGATAAGGCATAGAGATGTATTAGAACAGGCTTTTGTTAAATTTTTTAGAGTTTTATAGTTGAAAAAAACATTTAGAAAGGGTGACAACCTGTCTGCTACCCCAGTCTCTATATCAAGGCAATACAATAGTATGTATGCAAAGGGAAACAGATTTTATTTAAAAGGCTTCTTCTTGAGAGATACAGTTTTATTATTCTGTTACATTAGGTTGGGAAGGGAAGGATAAAAGGGAACCTTCTCACTACAATATTTTTAAATGTTGAGATAACAGTATATGATGAACTAGTATTGTATTGTGTTCTAAACATTTTAAATATGTTTAAAAATTGTGCTTTCATAATATATTTTGGAAAGAATTTTTTTTGTACTTATAGTGTGGCATTGGATCTGTTATTTTTCACATTTAAAAAAGGCAATGTTTTTTCAGCATATGGAAGAGAGGGTGTGAAGATGAACTTCATAGATAGGATCTTTGTTGGTGAATTGACTAGCACTGTCATGTGTGAGGAATGTGAAAATGTAGGTATTCTGGAATTTGGTTTGATGTGGAATAGATCACATACTGGTTTGATTATGTTGTCTTGGAAGTATAAAATTGTGTTGCCAATTTTATACTTGTTTGTTTGTAAAAACAAGATTTTATTGAAAGTTTTTAATTTGAAATTATTTATTCCTTCTTAAAAGCATTATCCTCCCAAACCTAAGAAGAGGGGTCCTTTGAATTGAAAAAGGATTCAAGTCCTGGGCTTGATTTTACATTTGACTTAAGGCTGGAGGTTCCAAATTCCATAATCATATGTGTTATACCCCAGTGTTAATTGATATTTTTAAAACACCTGCCTGTCTTAACACATAAATCCTCCTGCCTGCTCTTCTGGGATGTACCTGAAAATTGGGAATTACTTAATTTGAATTAGTATGAGTGGGGAAATGCTAAAATTATTTCTTTTTCCTTGAAGTATGTTTTATAATTAACATAATAACCCCAATGAACAGCATATTCCTTTCATAATTAATATTACTGACATTTCATCATAAATGCTTTCCATGATCCTTATAATTTTCTTCAAGTTTGAAAGAGAAAAATCTTATTTGCATGACTTCTCTAATTGAATGTTATTTTTGTGTTTGGTTTAAAACGTTCTATTTCATATTATAGAGATTAAGTAAATTAATCAATCTGAAAAATTAAGCACAGTCCTGCAGTGCGAGGTAAACTGTGATGTGCAGATTACACTTCAGTGTGCTACTAGTATCAATGAAGAACTTTGACTATATAAAAAATAGAGGTTGTATGTATTTTACATGTCTCATTTATTTTTGCTGGATTCTTATATTCTGCCTGCACAGGACTTGGGAATTTGCTAGCTGTAGCTCTTTGAGGAAGAGTTTAGCATTCGTTTTCCTTTGCCTGCACTAGCAAGATATTTTTGATTCATGTTTGTTCATGCAAACTGACACTTTAGAGGAACCCCTGTTTGAACGTCGCCCCTCAGGCAATCAGCCTCCATAGTTGCAATGCTTTTGATCTCATTAATTGCTTTACTGGAACCTAAACCATCCTGATTCCCTCACACAACAGGTAAAAATAAGCCTGCAGTCCATATCAAATGTCACAGGTGGAAGACTGGGTCACAAATACAAGAGAAGGGACACAGTGACAGTAATTGAGGGCATGACTGTATTCAATGACTTAAATGTACAACATGATTTTTACTGTTTTATTTTTAAGGTTTTGTTTTTCACAGTCTTTCCAGAGGTAAGATAAGTCAGTTTTGGAAGGACTGAGGACAGCAAGGGAGAGAGCTTAAGGAACTTAGTGATAAAGGCAGATGGAAAGTGCTGGAAGAGACTGTCTTTAGGTATGCTTTGAAAGATATTTCCAGCTTATACATGGCAAAATAAAACCACAATACAAAAAAGAAGGCTGATTTTTTTTTTAATTCCCTTTTCCCCAGTAATTGGATCTATTTTAACAAAATCTAACAAAGCTTTTAGCTGTAACCAGTAATACTGACTTAATCTTAGCTGAGACATGAGGTTAGAACCTGTCACCTAACTGTCATTAACCAGTCCCTGCTGCATAACAGTGTACAAGATCAAATGCCTGTGCAGAAGAGTCCAGAATCAGGAAACTCTAAAAGGTAGCTTTCTGCAAAATTATACCACCAAGGCCCACATGACTTGAAAATCTGTCTGAAGCTCAGAGAAACTGAGCACCAAACGGCATCTTTGTCCAGTTCATGCACAAGTGAATGGCCTTGCCCTTTGTGACTGTATGCTGAAATTTTGTGCAGTGTTAGAAAGAAAATTAAAGCTAATGTAAAAAATTTTTTAAAAAGTGGGAAGTTCTTCATTGTAGTTTGATATATCTTGAAACTAATTAAATTCTTGTATAGTTTCTGATAATAAATTGTTTAAATAAAGGGAGCTGTGTACTAAACCTGTACAATGTTCTTTGTGTTTAAATGCATTTTCTCTTTTTCTTCAAGATTTCAACAGTAAAAGAACCTTTCATTGATCTTTCACTTCCTATAATAGAGGAGAGGGTAAGAAACAGAATATGTAATAAGTAACTATTGCTCCTAGTGGATTGTTTCTACATACCTTTATGAAGATATTTATGTATTTACACAGAGTTTTGATTTCAAGCCTAAAAATGTAACCTTGTCCATAAATATGTGTACTGTCATACATCTGTTCATTATAGGATTTTCTTTGTATGAATAGACATAAAATGTCTTAAGTGCATATATTTTTAAATTAGTCCAAACTTGGACCAAATGATCTTAGTAATGTATAGAATACATAGGTCTGAGATTAGCTTAATTTAGTAGAATATACTTCTATGAATAGAATGATTATAAACATTTTTTTGGAGGTTCAGCAAGTTAGATTGTCATCTGTTGGTTTGCACGTAGAGAACTGGAGTCTCTTGGGTTGGAGTTTACCTACAGGATGAGACACTGTAAAAATGGATATTGGAATATATTTATTCTGGTATTTTCAGCATTTCACAGAATACTTCCATTAGCTGTGGAGGAACTGTGTTCCTTTGAAGGCATATACTATGGTTTTGCAGGACTTGGGGTTTTCATTTGAGAAAGTGGGGGTGGGTTGGGAGTGGTTCTTCCGCCATCCTGCATATATTCATCTGTATTTAAGGGAGAGTATTTAATGCAGCATTTATTCCTGTATAAAATGTATTCTTCTCCAAACACCAATTTTGCTTGTAACAAATTTGCCATCTTTGTTGGTGCATTGAGTGCAGATGCCTGCGGGAGTTAAAGCTTTAAGAACGTTTCGTGTATCTGGGCTCTTGTGCTTCCTGGTTCCCATGTGTAACACGGGAACTCTGTGGGCTTTCTTTGGGAGCCGTTTTCGTGGGCGTTTGGCAGTTGCTGCACTTACTTGAGGATGGGCATTACTTTATGGTTTTTGCTTTCCTCAGCAGTTCAGACACACTGCTGCCAGTAATGTGATGGGGGGCGTGTGGCAGCTCCTTCACCATGGCATAAGGTGGTTGGCTACACCAGACTGACTTACGGGAGCTGTGCCACCTTTGATTACGTCACATCTCACACAGCTACGCATGTCCTTATAAAGTAATAGATTATTTTGTATTGTATTATGTACAGGAATTTTGTATCATTCCTATTCCTTCTGCCTTTCAGTTGATCCTTCAAAGACTTTGACAGTGAGTTTATGGTAAAAAAATTTTGAAGGCTAGTTAATTGGTTTTATGTAGGTCACTGTTTTCTGAAGTAAAGGAAAAAAACCCCCGCCTACATTCATCTTTCTGTAGGTTGCAAAGGAATACAAAATTGACATAGCGCCTTTCCTAATTTCCTGTTTAATTTCTTAGGTTGCAAAACCCATGCCTTTGGGAAGAACAGGTAAAGGTAAAAGCGTACAGGAGGCAGATCTTGGTCAGTATAACTGTTCTTCTATCAGTACACTGAATAATCAACCCAAAATTGTCAAGAAACACACTTTAACAAAAGATAAGGTAAGAACTTAAATATACTAACCAGTCATCTTGAGCTTATTCTGAAGTTTCTAGGGCAACTGCGAATTTCTAGGGAATTTTGATACCTATTAATGGGGGGGTTTTTGTATATGTGTTGCTGACATAAACTTGTTTTAAAATATTTAGGTCATTATTAGAAGCGTGAGAAATGACAGTCATTGGTAGCCATTTATTTTTCAGTTACAGGGTTTCCTTTGTCAGGAAAAGAAAATCTGCAAACTAGTTTCAATTCATGTTGATTTTGGGACTATTGCAAGGGTCTGTGCCCAGTTGGGAACCATAAAAACTCTTCTGAATCAGGCCCTAACACATTAAATACACGTGAAGAAAAAATACAACAGAATGACTATATAAAAGCATTATAAGAGAAGAGAATGAGACAGAAGTAGAAAAAGGACATGTGGTACAAACAAAGGACAGGGTGGAAAGAAGTAGTGCAGAAATTGATTGTTGTAGGAGAAAAGGCCTACAGCTCAAACTACTGAGGTGAATGGAAGGATTCCCACTAGCACCACTGGAATTTTGATCCAATTGAAATAAGGGAAAAAACAAAGGGGAAGGAAAGTTGCTAATTTCTGTTGGAAAGTAGCCAAACAAAAGAAGGAAAAAAAAGAATCATGAACGCTTTTTATCTAAATCACTTTTTATCTAAAGGAGTAGTTTTCTGTGGCAGCAACCCTTTTCTTTCTTCTTGCAATCTTGATTTAAAAAAAATCAACTTCAGGTAATATACAAATTAGCAAACATCCTACAAGGGATGCTTTAGTTAATTCTACAACAAGTGCCTACAAGGTGAGTTGAATTTTCTTCTGGAACCTCTCATCGACTAAGGCCTCTGATGGGAGGCCAGGGGACTAGCTTAAACCTGAGACCCTTTTTTAAATTAGATTAAGTGAATACCACTTCAAACGTGCCATCCACAGCTGTCACAAAGTGAAAGTTATTAGTTGTGGGGAAGTATTGATCTCACAGTAAGTATAATGCTCTTAGCTGACTGGGGTGTAGGTTTCTAATCCTAAATCAGTTTAAAAAGATCTTAGGGAAATTGACTAGCTTAAACATGTGAGAGATGGAGAATATAAAACAATATGACCCCCCAATAATTTGCTTTGAATTTGTCATGTTTCAAAAGGTATGTTAGATTACAAATCTATTTTCTGAATGCATTACTTTTATTACTGAAATAATAATGCCATAATTTACAGAACCAATTGAACCATGAGAGACGGCTTGCCAGAAAAGCTTCCTTGAAGGAAGAAGAAAGAAGTCCTGTTATCATGCAGGAAAAAACCAAAAAGCTTGAGCTGGAAGGTAGCTCTGGCATCCTGTACTCCAAAGACACAACTGCTGACTCAGCTGTCAATGGCAGTCAGACAGAGGGCAGTGAGAAGGAAGCCAGCCGCTCTGAAAGCAGCTTTGATGCCGACAGTGAAGCCTCAGAAAGCGAAAGTGCTTCTAAGCAAACAACTTTGAGCCCATCCAGCCACACGTCTGGTTTGCACGCCAACCACGTAAATGTTAAAATGCCGCACAAAATGCCAAATGGCAGTAATGAAGAGGTGATTTCCAGTGCCATATCCAAACTTGGTTTCTGTGATCCAATAAATGAAGATAAAAAATCGAGCCGTGGAGATCCAGCGTTAGGTTTATCAAATAATTCTGTGTTCTCAGTAGATAAATCTTCACTATCCCAAACCCCTCAAAATGCTTTCCAGACGCTTTCCCAAAGCTACATAACTAGCTCAAAGGAATGTTCTGTTCAGTCCTGCCTTTACCAATTCACCTCTGTAGAGCTCTTAATGGGGAACAACAAGCTTTTATGTGAGAACTGCACGGAAAGGAAACAGAAGTATCAGAAGAAAACCAACTCCACAGGTAAAGTGCTTGTACCTCTCTGGACAATTTTCAGCATTTCCTCCCAAAATCTGTGCGCTGGCTGCTGTTCCATTGCTCCAGCACAGGCCTCCCCACATTGTGGCTAAATAGAAAATGTCTCCCCAAGCAGAACTTGCTTGTAACAACTCAAAACTTCATCAGGCAATGGCAACGAGACTAAATTTTGTATTAGAACATAATCATAGGTGTAATGTAAAATTTATTTTGCATCTTTATTCTATCCAAGATAAGGAACTTAAAGATGACCATAACTGAATATGTGCATTGCCTCATACTAATCTTTACCGCTGTTTCTGTTCCTTACAGTCCTCAAAGCTTTGAAATAAGTGCTGTAATATTCAGCCCCAGTAGCTTATATACTCAGGGAAGCAATGTTATTAAGTATGGAAAAGGGGCAAAAAAAGACACTTGCAATGAAGAGGGAAAAAAAACTTCCAAAGATTTGTAAGACTGGAGATGAGAGACAACTACCTTCTTGTGACAATGTTCTCCTTGATGTTTGTGTAGCACAAGCAGACCATTACAGTTCACTGAGTAAGATTTAATGAAAAATAAAAAAAAAAATCCTCCAGTCTTTTGAAAAAGTTTATGTATAGACATTCAGAAGGTTAAAAAATTAAGCTCTTGTGATTATTTATAAATAAAATATAAAGGGAGGTAACAAAAATTTGCACCTTTGCTCTGCATTTATAGATACATGGAGAGATACAAGTTAAGCATGAGTAAATTCAGAAAAATTAATCTAAACATAGTATTTTACAATAATTTCTTTATCATGATTGGACTTGGTTCCATGGGCACCATGAAAAATGGAAAAGGAACATCAATTTACAATTAATCATTATTTATTTTTTCCTTCTAAAACTAAAGATGTAAGAAGTCACTTTTACATTAAATGCACCATTTTACCTCAAATGAAATATTTTCCTTTGAACATGCATAAAACTAGTAAATTAATTAATCTTTTCAGCAAAAATAAATGCTGATAGCATGTTCCCTTTTACTGAGTAGCTAAACCTGAGCTACTTTTGGTAAGAGCCCTGTGTTCAGTGTCCTCTCCACATAGGGGGACTGGAGTCCACATATCCCAATCCTGTGTGCTCAAGCCAGCAGGTTATGAGGCATCCTGAGGCAGACAGCCCTCCTTAGATCTTTCTCTTAAATATGTATGAAGTATGTAGTCATTCAGAAAAAACTGAATAATGGAAAATTAAACTCTTAGTGATTAGGACATTAGCAGAGATAAAGACACCCATGCCTTCCAGTTTTTGTCCAGGGATCGTCTGTCTATTTGAGGTTTTAATAGAAAAGCTGGATGCTATAGTAACAGACAATGTAGTTGTGCAAGCTGACCTAGATAGTGTACAGGCTTCCAACTCTTGATCTGATTTGCACAAGACTGGCTAAAATAATGCTCAGATTTGGCAGATTATGGTTATTAATAACTAGAAAAATAAGAAAATATTTTTCTGTTACTCTACAAAATTTCCCTTGTCTTTTATATAACAAGTACAAAATCATTGCTACATAGATCTATTCTGTCAGATGTTTAAAAAATACTTTAAAAATTCCATGTGTCTGCCTTCACTTTACAAATTATTTTGATACTCATAAATACAGAAAAGAAAATGGAAGGTGTCTACACAAATGCTCGGAAACAGCTTCTGATTTCTTCAGTTCCTGCTATTCTTATTCTCCACCTGAAAAGATTCCACCAGGTAAGAGGCTAAAACCCTCTTGTACGTTCCTCTACCACTGGTGGACAAGCAGTCCTTTAAGTGTTGTGCATAGTGATATTGGCTTTTTATAAGGAGACTTGGTAGAACCACTGTTTGAAACATGCTGGTGTTTTTGTGATTGTTACACCTCCAGGGAAACGTGTCCATCATGCTTATATATAGTAGTGGGGTGGGTTCAACACAAGCAGACACCGTATTGAAAAGATAACAAAGAATGTTTAAATCAGTTACAGTCTTATTCTTGGATTTGGTTCATTTTAATAATATAGTGCTACACCTTAGCTTTAAAAAGCTTTCTAGTAAAAATATATATTTTACAGTCTTTTTTTTTTTTCTTTTCCTTTGAAGGCTGGTTTGAGTCTACGGAAAGTAAACAGGCATGTGGATTTCCCACTGATTTTAGATTTAGCACCATTTTGTGCTGCATCTTGCAAGGTACCCGTTTCAAATCTTTATTTTTATTGTGCTTCAGGAGTTGTCTGACCACAAGTGAAACTGGATTGATGATGATGATTATGATTCCTTCCTTTCCTAGAGACATTATAGAGTGCATTTTTCACATAGTGTCTTGAGATCAAAATTGTAACTATTTGCAATTCCATTCATATCAAGAATATCACAGATGTGATAGTGTTAACTAATACTAGTTAACATTAGTATTAGTTAAACTATGGTGTTCTGATGGTGTTAGTGTATCTAACAGCATTAAGGACAAGTATTATTGCAAAATATAACAAAATTCAATTCATAACATTACTGCATATTTGTAATAGATGTATTTCACCACTGGAAATGTCTGTTTTCTTTTGAAGTAATACTGTTGATAGCTAGTTAAGATACCTGTAAAATTCATTGTGAAATAACTGACCTTTGTTTTCTGTGTTTCTGGGAATGCAGAATGTTACGGATGGTGCAAGAGTGCTCTATAGTCTTTATGGAATAGTGGAGCACAGCGGGTCAATGAGAGGTGGTCACTACGCGGCGTACGTGAAAGTCAGGCCATCCTCCAAGAAATTACTAGAGCATATTTCTACCACTAAAAATGTTTTGGGTATGTACAAACAGAGCCTCCTTTCCCTCTCTGTAAAATCAAAAGCAACCACTGTCCACAAGGATTTATAGCAAATAATTTTTTAGCTCAGACTATTCTGTGATTTTTAGAGAAGTCATAGAAACCCCATCCCTGAAAGTGTTCGAGGCCAGGTTGGGTGGAGCTCAGAGCAACCTGTTCTAGTGGAAGGTGTCCCTGCCCTTGGCAGGGGTGTTGGAACTAGATGATCTTTAAGTTTCCTTCCAATCCAAACCAACCTATGATTCTATAAATTATTCTTTTTTTGTTGCACCCAGTACATAACCTACTTCTGCTATTAATTCCATATAGAGCTGAGTGAATAATGGAATTTTGATTCAGTTATTAAACAGAGAATTTACAGAACACTCTCATCTCTCATCTCTATATTATCTCAAAATAATATGTCCAGATGAATAGTTGTGCCTGGTAAAATGCAATTATTTGGCATATTTGGTATTTGAAAATATTTTAGTACAAGAATCAAATCTATGACATTAAATGAAATGAAATTTTCCAAATATTTGGGCTTTTTATGTATTTTAGGATTGGAAATATTTAATGCTTAAAATTCTGGAATCCTCTGGTTTAATGTGAACAGGAAGAAGCTTTTTCATGGAGGATACAAGGTTTGGTTTAGGGTTTCTATTGGTATTTTGAGAACAGCACACTAGTTCTTACTAATATTTTTTGGATATGCAGAATGAAATAAGATTCCAAGATAGAATGTGTTAGTGAAAGATTTGTTGGGGCAGGAATATGTTAAGCTGACCAAGTTAAGTAAATATATTTACTATTTCCCTTCTTGGGGAGGAGTGAGAACCAAGCATTATCCTGTCTATCCTGTGGGGTATCACTTTGCACTTGAAGCTCATTTCCTAGAAAGACAATATTTTACATTATTTTTCAAACCAAAGTTTCATTCAGTCTTATGCTTGTCTTGCAGTGATTATTGGAACAGATTAGATGTTTTTGTGTTCTTAATTTCACACTGGTCAGCTTTTGAAATAAAATGAATGCTTGGGGGTTAGAAGCTTCTCTTGCTATTTGAAATAATCCAGTGTATGTGTTTGATGATGACTTGAAAGACAAGAAACAACTTCTTTTGCTTCTGCATTTCAGGTTTAAAAGAAGCCATGGGAGCATCAGGAGGACAGTGGGTGTACGTTAGTGATGCCCACGTTCAGATGGTTCCAGAATCGAGAGTACTCAATGCACAAGCATATCTACTTTTTTATGAAAGATTATTACTCTAATTCTTAACAATTTAATTTCAAAGATGGTAGTGGGTACTTAGTTTATCTTATTTAAAGCTGCAGTGGTAAGAGTACCTGTAAATATTGTGCCTTTATCTTGTAGAGAATTTATCATCTGTTGGCTCTGAAGTTTAGTCAAGCTATTATAAATATCTGAATGGTTCTCTTAAAGTAAGCACTTTGCCAAACATTTAAAATTCCTGAGTTCATTAAAATGCAGTACCATTAGAATGTAAGATTATGTCCTATCCTACTGAGGTCTAGGGAAAGTTTGTTTTTGATTATGAAAAAGATAAGCTTTCACCCATAGTTCTGGAACAGCTGAGAATAGAAACGCTGATAGTGTTAAGTGCCTGGATTTGCTGGTGTACAGTAACAATACAAAGTATTTCAGCTTTCTGTGATCTAGTCCAGATCCTTCCCATCACTGGGTTGGATGTCAGCTTGTTAAGTTTTCTGCAAACAAGAACCTGTCAAATCATGTCTCTTCCATGTTTAGTAATTGGAAAGCAGTGTCCTTCCAGAATGGAGTAACAACACCTGTCTGGGTAATACTTCAGGGAACTTTCCTGATAAGACCTGGGAATAGATTGGGAAAACGTGGCTTCTACAAAGTGACAGTGAATCCTCAGATACCCAGTACCCTTTCAGCTGTCTCCAACTGGCACTGGTATAGCAACGTACTCCTGTTTCAATATAAATATATACTTGGTGTGCATACGTATATCCTCTGAGATATATACACACACCAAAATCCATCACTATATATTCTCATTCTACCTAGTAGGAAAGTGATTTGCAAATACTTCCGTATTTAGTAATTTTTCAACTTCATAATTATGACAATGTACAGCATATAAGCTTGTATATGTACAGAGTTTAAGCATAACTCGGTAAATTCTGTTACTTTTGGTTCCAAACATGAATTTGTTTATCTGTTCCTGAATACTTTTCTCACAGGAGGAATAAACTATAAATTCTTTTTGCACTGTGTGTGTGAGTTGGACAGTAAATTATGAGTTTTGCTCTCTGGACTTCCTTTTGTCAGCTGTGGGGGACAGCAGGTGTCCTAGTGGCAACTGGTTTCTGTAGAGTGTTTTATTGCCCTGGTTTGAGTTGTTACTTCTTTTGGTAATTTCTCATTTCCATCCCAGTGAGTAATAGATGCATTTTAAGGTAAAGAACTGATAACTACTGTGAAGTTATGTGGTAATTAACTTATTTAATAAGCACTTACTTAAATACAAATTACTTCTGTAACATTTCCATTCTGTCTGACTTGCTCTTTGGTAGAGAAAAAAATGTTTATTTCTGCTTACTGTTTTCATTTATGGAAATGTGGGGTTTTTTGTGGGTGGGTTTGGGGTTTTTTTGTGGGGGAAAGAAAAACAAACCCACAAAAAACCCCATGCCATCCCTATTACTATCTCTACTACGTGTTGCCATACCTACCTGCCTGACTCTCCTGTTCTCTAGTTCTGTTTCAGAGCTTCATCCCACCTGCATTCACTCTTTTGCATAAGAAAATGGCACAATCTGCAATAGCCGCATTTGCTCAAACTGCTGAGGTATATTTTACAGTCACATCACTTGCACATTCCTGTGCAGGCACTAAGGATTGTTAGGCCCTACAACTGATTGTCATAACAGAGTGAGCCCCCAGTTGCACAGGATTTTATTTTCCAAAGGAAAACTCCTCTGTTTAGGTCAAAATTAGGCTATGCGGTTTGGCTGAAATGATAATTTCTTCCTTCCACAAATTAAAATTGTTTCAGTCCACACAAAAGTAATAAAACTCAGAGAAACCAAGCAGTCAGCTTTAGCCATCTGTATTCCTAACCACATCTTAACCTGCATCTGCACTAAGTAAGTAAGTAAGTGTGTAAGAAAGAAAGAAAGAAAGAAAAATAATGTTTAGATTAGAGTTGGTTCAAGTACCTTAATTCTCTTTTAGCTCCTTATCGTCCCATACCCTGCATCTACCTATACACACCTTCCTACTAGTTGTATGTAACTGATTGAAACTTCTAATTCTGGGTAACAGTCATAGTAACTAGCAACTAAGTTTCACTTCTGTGATATAATCTTGCTAGGGGAACACAGATGAGTTTATTTCCTCCACTTTAAAGCAGACAGACCGAGTATTCCTCGTTTTTCTGACTTGCGTAAAACTACTGAACCTAAGTAACTGTATCAATCTCCTACTTTTTAGCCTAGATCTACCTCCCTAGACTGCAAAGCTAAGAAACAGAACAAGGTTCTTGACCTGTTACTTCTTATTTTTAATGCTATTTTCAGGAAATTCTTGGGGTGATCTTCACTTCTTTTTAACTGGAGTTTACAAACTGTTTGAGCAGCTGAAATTTTCCCAAGTAGACATACTGACTAGGATGCCATAAAAGATGCTGGCAGGATTATCTCATTAACAGCCAGGGAACGTTTCCTTGTATAAAGGTATTTTATAGAACATGGAGAGAAAGTGGCATGAAAAAAACCCAACACCTTTATCCAAGATAGCCATCACTGTTGCTCCTGAATGAAGCTTTTTGAGTTGAAATATTAGCAGGAACTCTAGTAATCTCAGAGTCAGGAACAGGTATGAAAATATTATAGATGTAAATATTCTCTAAAAATGAGGGCAACAGGTGAAGTTATGCCTTCAAAATGAAAAAAATTACGACTAATGCAAGATGTCATATAGGATTTCAGATGCAAGTCACAGTGTCCTTTAAAACATAGGTTTGGGAGGGTGTTTGGGTGTGTGTGTATGTAAAATTTGGCTCCAAAGCAACTGATTGTACATAAATGTGTATACTGAAGACTTGTTAATAGTTCCTTATCAGGAACTGCAAGGGAAGCTCATAGCATTCTGGGAAAACAGGGGTGTACACCCTTTGTGTGCTAGAATTCTATAGTCTAGGAACTTGCAGTTTCCTGCAACTGCCAGCTGTGTACATGCTATTGAAAAGCTACATGTTTTCAGAATTTAAGTGAAGGGCTTGAAAGTTTAAGCCTACTTAAAATATCTCATTTTACCAACCAAAAATATTTTTAGGCCTACAGTCTCTACTCTTTACAGAGCTACACCATACTTATGTAGCCACTCACCCTGAGAAAGTGCAGTAGCCTGCATCTTCACGTGGAATAGCTTCAAAATGGCTTTCTCTTTGTACTACCGTTCTCACAAGGGCAATGATGTTTTCTTCATCAGCCTCATCTGTTCTTTTTGTTTTCAGGGTCTCCATAAGCCTCTGTGTCAATGTTTTTCCTTTCATTGATCCTCAGCCATTATATGGTGGTTCCCAGTCCCATCTCTTGTTTTCTGTGAACTCACAAAGCTCTTACAGGAAGAGCTACTGTAGCTGAAATCTGGCCTGTCCCTACTGCCACACTGGCTCTGCCTACAGACTGCAATACAGGTAATTGAGAAAAGCTGTGAGACCTGAGCAACTCTCTGCTGACCAGTCACAAGACAGCGCCTTTAAAACAATGAGGAAGAATGCAAATTAAGTATTTCCTCATTCCTCATTAAGTAAACCTCATTTATGGGAAGTACTTGATTTGCATATGGACAGTTGGAACCCCCTACAAAAGTTTATCCAAAACAGAGGCATCAACAAAGTCTGCTGCATCAACTAAGGAGTTAGTACAGATTATAAATCCTTTTTCCTCAGAAAGAACTTTGTTATCTTTGGATTTATATAATTGATGCCAAATGTGGCAAAACGTGATGGGAAATTTTATTATAGTAACCCACCTACACCAGTACACGTACAGACATCACATTTGCATAAGTCTGTTCTCCTAAGAGAGGGCTACAAATAGTGGTGAAGGAAAAACAAAACAAACCCTGAACTTTGCTGCCCAAAATGTACGTGCTGTAATTGCCTTGGTTTAGAAAATGAAATCCACGCAGTCAGCCAAACCTTCCTCCCCTTCCCCATCTGCACCCTCTGTGTGTATCAATGAAGTGCTCTTGCTTACGGATTTTGAGTGGTAGCAGGTGAGAGTGGTTTATAAATTCATTAAAAGGCTGAAATGTCTTAGCTTCACCATTTGCTTCTCTTTGGACTTCTTTTTTATACCAACACAAACTGAGTCAGAAAGGGACATGAAATTAATGCATCTACATTCTCAACCCACTATAAAAATCTTATTTGAACATACTGGTAACAAACTAAGATTTGGAAAGGAATATTTTCTTGAGGAGAAACTAAGATGTATTAAAATGAGAACAAAGCATTTGAATACAACTCTTCTGTTAGGAAAAATTAACAAATCCAATTTTAATGAAAATAGCACACCTGAGAAAAGAGCTTTACAGCAGCCTTGATTAAACAAAGATCTGATATTCCTCAGTTTTCAACAGCTGGACACTCTTTTTCTGTACCCTGTACACATTTATGCATCTCTACAAAGATTTACATATCCATGTGAAAGAAATGCCACCGATTTTCTGTAGAACTATTTAATTCTAATTATTTTAGAATGGATTATTGTTTCTTCTGTATCTATTTACCATGTCTTAGGCTGTCATTTTGCCAGCTGTTCTACCTGTTTGTACCTTTCCCGTTGGTGTATAAACAAACTGCAGAAATGGTGGGAAACTGATTATTCAAAGTGATTCATAATCTATTTTTTTGTAAAGGGAGATTATAAAATGTATTTTCAGCTGGATGTCTGTTAGTGCAAGTCAAAGCACTTCCCTTGCACAAGGTTATATAAAAAGTCTAAGTGAATTTTTATGTTACTACATTTGCAATGCATTGCAACTACTTCAAGGCTACTTGATATACATTTCACTTATATAAAAGTTATAAATTGTCTTCATGGATAGCAGTAGAAAAACTAACTTTTTAAGTGTCAAGAATGTTTCTTACATCTGTGGCAGTTTCCAGTATTTTTCTAATGCTGCTTTTAAAAGAAAACAGAAAAGCACTTGTTTTGAGTAGGCTTATGAGTTCTTAACAATTGCCTCGTTTCTTTGCTAGCTTAGGGGGTTTTTTGGTTTTCAGCTGTGTAACCTAGGGATCATTGCAGTGAACTGTAATGAAACCACCATGTCAATGGCTGCCATTCCCTATTTAGCCATTCCACAAAGCTGAGTTCTGATTCTGCTGTCATTTATGCATAGGGATAATCCCTGATATGTTCATGTGTGGCTGTACTTATACAAAAGACAATCCAATTAATCAAAAAACCTGTTGCTAAGTCCAAAATACTTGTGAGCAATAAAAAGTTTCATTTTGTTTTCATTCATTTCCTTTTTTTCATATGTCTGAACCAATAGTCTGTCTCTTCTCTGCAGGTATTTAAGTAACAAATAGTATTTTTAGAATTCTACTACAGTACTGATACATGATGCATTTTATATGTAGATTTCTAATTCCAAATATTACTAAGTAAACAGGGTCTTACAGACTGTATTTAAAAACCAAATACAAGTTTGATCAGTTTTCCAGTCTATCCGAGGTGCTTTAACAAGTTTCTCAGAGTAAAGCTGCCATTTGTCATCTATTAATTTTGTCTTTTCTTCTGTTATATAGTATTTGACAAACGTGAATAAAACATCCAGCCATTTGGAAAATTACATTGTTTATAAGCTGTTTGTTGTACAACTGAGTTCACATATTTTTTTCCTTTCATCTTGTATGACAACATCACTGCCCATGGAAGAGCTCCCTAGAGATGAGTCCGTATCCTTGAATACTTAAGCTACCTGGCTTGTTTCCCCTGGCTTGCCATCTGTGGCACAGGGCACAGATTAAGACACAGTTTGTTCCCTTTACAAGAACTGAATTCTGTAATTCTGTGGTAAGACCGGGACCAAGAGTGGGGCTCTCACATTCCCAGTTTCAGTAGTGGCTGAAAGCTTGCCCATCTATAAGCACCACTCCATGGTTCCAGATGGAACCTGGAACTTGGTTCCCTGTTGGGTCAGTCATCACTGGACAGACTTAAAACCTCTGCAACACTCCTGTCCATGGAAAGCCTTCTCAATCCTGCCATTCCTTGCGACACAGAAAGGGAAAAGTCCAGAACATTCCAAATAACAGTAACATGTGCCATAAGTGGCACCGACAAATCTTACACTGAAATCAATACAAAAGTTTCTTGAAGCTTTTGATTTTTTATAGATTTATAGGGGGTAACTTACTCTGTTACTCCATGTGGGTGTTAATGTTTACTTTATGCAATGATCAGAGAGATTGTGGATGTTTGGCATTTAGTCCGTGACGCTAAAGGAAGGGGAAGGCAGTGATCGCAGCGGTAAATAATGTGCCAGCTAATGAAAATCCCTGTCCCACAAACGATTGCAACCACTCAGTCCTTCCCTACGGGATCACCCCCAGTGTCCATAGAAGAAGAGCTTTGCCGTTTGCTACGGGTGATTTTGGTGTATCTTTAACCATTAAACTAGGAAAATTTCAAGGTAGATCTCACGATAACGTAAAAGTTAATCTGGATATTGAGAATAAACTACTTAGACAATTGTCCTGCTCCACGAACGCTCCATATACACATACACTGACCTGACGTGGCATGCTGACACTCTGCAGCTGTGCAATACTGAAGTTACTTGTGTATTTCAATGTAGGATCCTTGCACTGAGTCTGTCCACTTACACCACTTATGTCTCCGTACACCAGCTTTATGTACCTCTTCATGTGGACTCCGCCCTCCGCACTGGAAACACGGATCGCACTCTCTGACCACCAGTTAGATCACCTGCGGAGGCCACGGAGCTGATGAGCTTCCCATGGGTCTCCCCACATTAGCGCAGCCGGGGAGTGGAGTTCTCCGCACGGCTTCCAGGCAGGAGCGTCCCCGCCTTCCCGCCCCGCCTCGGCTGCCATGGAGAGCCGCCAGCAGCAGCGATCGCCGGCGCTGCCCGAACTAAAGATGGCGAAGGGAACTAAAGATGGGGGGAAGGAAAGGGGAAGAACCGCCCGGCTGCCCGTGGGCCCTCAGCAAAGATGGCGGGACAGGCGTCCATGTATGGCAGGCGAGGGTCAGCACCGTTACACGCTTCACTTCCGGGTGCGCGGCAGCGGGCGCCATATTGTCTTGTCCGTGAAGACGAGAAGCGAGAGCGGGGGTAGCGCGGCCGCGGAGCGGCGGCACCGGCGGCGGGAGGCGGGGGAGAGCGTAAGTAGCGGGGCGGGCTGTGCTCGCCAGCGCTTCCGGGGGGCACGCGGGTGTCGCTGACCCGATCTTCCCCCTTCGCTCTTCCTCCGAGCCGAGCCGAGCCGGGAGGGCGCCGCGCGCCGCGGCGGCGGCAGCCGCTCGCCAGGCGTGAGGAACTGGCAGCACTGCCAGCGGGAACCAGCGGCCTGGACGAGAAGGGACGAGCCTAGAGCCGCTCGCCCTCCCCCGCCGCCCCCCGGGGTGGGGGGGGCGGTGCACTGCGCATGCGCGGCGGGGGGGGCCGGCGGGACCCCCTCGGGATCCCCGTGCTGTGCCCCCCCCGCCCCGGGGTCCCGGTGGGCACGGGCCGCCGCCCGCACTGCGCATGCCCCGGGGCCGCCCCGGCACGGGGCACCAGGAGAGGCCGGAGCGGAGCGCGCGGCCCGCGGGGACAGGGATTCCGGGAGTCTGGGATGCTGGGAGCGCGCACCCGGCCCGGCCGTGCCGGAGGAGCCGCCGGGTGCGCAGGGGAGAGTGTTCGCTTGTTTTAGCCGGTAACCCAGTTAGGGAAGCAACATGTGCACCGGGATTCCGTAGTTGGCTGTGTCAGCAGCTTGGCTCCTGCGGATGAAATGTATTTGCGGGATATTTGTGCTGTTTCATGCGTTTCGTGGCCGTTCCTGAGTTCGTTCCACTGGAGGGCTCCAGAGAACTAAAATTTAACAATATCCTCACACGCAGCAGCAATTTTAAGATACCTGGACCTGGTTCAGTAGGCTGGCAAATGGATCCTCAGACACACCACGGGATTGGAAGACTTTTTGGTTTCAGCACTCCCCACGCTGATTTTCTGTACTTCTTTAGACAATCCCACAGAGTTGTTGAAGTGAAGTTTGATGGGATGTGCTAGGCTTTACGGTTAAGGATGGAGCCACAAAAATGGTCAGAGGGCTGGAGTCCCTCTCCTATGAAGACAGGTGATGAGAATTGGGATTGTTCAGTCTGGAGAAGTGAAGGCTCCAGGGATATCTTGCTGTGGCCTTTCAGTACCTAAAGGGGCTGAATAAGAAAAAATGGGGAAAGATTTGTTACCAGGGCCCAGGACAAGGGTCAACAGTTTTAAACTGAAATATAGCTTTAGACTGGGTATAAGGAAAAAATTTTATATTATAAGAGTGATGAGAGAGTGGAACAGGTTTTCCAAAGAAGCTATGTGCCCCATGATTGGAAATGTTTAAGATCAGGTTGAGTAGAGCTTTCAGCAGCCTCGTTTCTTCCAGGATGTTGGACTAGGTGGTCTTTGAAGGTCCCTTGCAACCCAAACCATTGGATGATTCTATGATGTGCTACCCCAGCTGAAATTTACCATGTTTCTGGAACAAATTACAGAGTGTTCATCCACCTTGGTGTTGTTCATTTCTTCTCTTAGGCTTATACCTGTAAATCTTTTCAAGCAAACAACTTTATTGGAAGGTGTGGGATACAGTGATAAAGTGTTACCCTAAAGGATTTGTTTTAAGACACAGGGTCAGCTACCTTTCAAAGGTGGGGGAATGGTGGTCTTCAAAGCATGAGGCGCATCTGCATAAGGCAGACAGTGTTCAAACATCATTTTACCAAGACAGGGTTACAATAGCAGTCCAGCCAAACTGTTGTACTGTTGGTAGGAGTAAGAAACCCCTTTCGAATTTTGAGGTTAAGCTGCACTAAAGGTGGTGCCTCTTGTGGGTGTTATAAATGCTGCAGCTCCCCTGACTGTGGAACAGAGGAGGAACTGAGGGCCTCAGATTTGTCCAGGGACAAGTCGGTGGGATTACTGACCATTCAGTGACAAATCAGAAGACAAGCCTCTTGAGTTCTAAATTGTTTGGTACAGCAGCAAACCTTGTGTCACCTCTGCTATTATGTCATTACAAGATTTCCTGTATTGTCCTTGTCCCATGGCAATGCAAACTCCTGCTCTGATAAGAGTGGTTTCTCCTCTTTTGGCAGGGTTTAAGAGTCCACAAATTTAGCACAGTTCTGCAATTTTTGGGGGGATAACCTACCTCATAAGCTGTAGTGGTAGAGTGGAGTCATAGCCATGTTTGATTTTTAGTTAGGTGCAGGATTATGTAAAGATACAATGGAGACAGAAGTGTCCAGTCTCACTTCTTTTCATGACTGAGGTATGTTGTGATCGTAAATCTGCCTTTGGTGACACGTAATACTGTGGGTAGGTGCTATTAAGCATTTTTACTTTCATCACTAGCTGGTCCTTCTTCAGTAAATGACAACTGTATTTATCACTGGGGGCAATACCTGCTCATAACCAGCGAGAAATAGTTGTTTACTTGCTTAGTTATTGGTACTATAAATTTTTTGAGCAGAGCATGTTGATCAAGGAGGAAGTTGCAGATGGACAGTTCACTTTCGGGGAAAAAAATAATGCTGTGTTATGTGGCTAATTGAAAATCTAGCATCAGGACTTCCAGCAGAATGATACACGAAAAAAATGAGATCAAGACTTCTTTTTTTTTTTTCCCCCCAAACCCAAGAGATCTTTGACTTAAACTACTGAAGTTATTATGATGTTTCTGTGGTAGTAAATATTCTAGCAGTGGGTTTGGTGCTTTATGATAATCAGAACGTGTTTGTCCTTATGTCTTTGATATACAAAAAATAAGGAAATGATACCTGACTTGCCAATATCTGGTCTTTTTGTTCTTTTTAAAGAGTTGGCTTCAGCTCAGTGGATATGTGGATTTAAGTTTGAAATAACAGACCTTGGAAGCTATACTGTTTGAATGACTCACTGAAGAAGATTTCATAGTACCTTTTTTTTTCTTTTTTTTTTTTTTTTTTTTTTTAATTTGGCCCTTGTTCAGCCTACTTCATCTTGGTAGCACTGTAAATATTAGTCAGATGTGCTGACATGTGAACCAGGTTCTGGAAAACTTCATAGGTACCGAACCAGCTGTTTTCATCAGTTCTTTTTCTTGTTCTGTATTTTGGATCTTGGTTACACGTTTGGAAAGCCTCTATTCTTCAATTTTAGAAAGAACAGTTCTGATGTTCAGAAATGCAGTGGAGTAATTGAAGTTGACTTCCACCATTTTAGTGATACACAGCTGTAAATGGGCTGGAAGAATTTTACACGATTTTTGACTGGATGTCTTGCTACAGATGCCAGCAGGCACATTGGTGTAGCTTCTCGTCCTCAGGAGAAGAAAAGATGGGCATTAAATGCCTGCAACAATTTCGGGTGGTGCTGTAGATGATGTCTTTGCCAAAAAAGTGTGATGGGTGAAACAGAGTAGCAGGAAAGACAGTTACTTTAACTTTTTCTGATTTATTGCAGACTTAACTCATTCCACAAATATTTAATTTTCTAATCAGTAGCTGAGTATAATATAGTAGTAAATATTAATTCTCCCAAATAAAATGGAAGCTGGTTTTGTCTGAGTGATGGCATGCAGTTGT